CTCCCACTTCATTAGTGTCTAGCTCTGTTAGGAAAGACCTAGGAATAAAAGTAAATCCATAGTTCAATATCCTTATTCATCCATTCTACATACTTAAATTTAGTTTAACAGTGTCAAATTCTCATGTGGAAATCAACCTAATAGAAAACAGATTGTGATCAACAACTCATTACAAAGAAGAATGTTATGAAAACAGAAGAATACAAAAGAGAATTCATTCATTGTTTTCTGTCAGGAGTATAAGGTACAGTGGTAAATCAGTCCCTAATCCAACCTGAAGTTCGGTTCCTAATCCTGTGAAATGGGAACAGCTCTGGTCCCTGTCTCCATGGAGGGAGAATCAAAGAAAGCAAGAACCAAAGAAGTAAGGGTGAAGAGGTGGAATGTGAGGGACATTTACAAGTCAGCAATGAGGACAGCAAGTGCCAGGATCAGACATGAGCATTAGGAACAATGTGATCTCACACTAAAGGACTCAAGCAAAGCACTCCAAGAGTTTTACCTAAGACCATAGGAGAAATTAGTTGTAATATACAGAAAAGTATAACAACATTCAATCAGTAAAAGGAAATAATACAGCCCATATGTCAAAAGGTGGGGCCCTGAAGTCATATAAACAGGGTTTCGTCCAACTTTGACATTATGTTTATGAATGCTGACCTATAAAATGGAACTTGCTAAATCAAGTAATGTACTCACAACATTGACAACAGTTGCCTCATATATAGGAAGCATTCAATATATGCTTTTTCAATAATACATTTTTAAAAGTATTACCTGCTTTTTAAAAAAGAACTTTGGGACAATTATCAGAAAATTTGAAATGATGGACAATGTTTGTGTTCAATTTACAACAACATCCCATTTTATATACACCATATTGTAAAAAACTGCTTCTAGATAAGCCTTTGCAGCATTGCGGATGCTGAGGCTCACTCAGCAAGGCCACCTCTTCATAGACACGGTCGTATCTGCTGATGAAGACCACGCTTGTCCATTTTAAATAGCGAAGACTGGGAATTTTGTAAAGAAAAGAGATTTCTTCATCTCACACCTTAGAAAGTGGAAATTCCAAACAGCATAGTGCAAATTCTGTCAAGGGCCACTGTGGCTGCACTGCATTGTGGTAGACAGCATCATTGTCAGAACACAGTGAGAGGGGGAGATCACTGTGAGACAGGAAGCCACAGTATGGGAAGGTCCCTCCCACTGGGACCCACCTCTTAAAGTTCTCATCACTCCTTAACACTGCCACATCAGTGACTAGGCTTTTGACACATGAACCTTTTGGGGACAAACTATACCCAAACTATTACAGCATCTACAGGTAAAATACACTATTTCTTGGGTGCACACCTCACCAAACTCAAAGAAGGCAGGAAGCATCACAGTTGCAGAAACTCCTCATATACTTTACTTTCTTTGAGGAGCCTCAAAAGTATGCTTGATTTGGCTTTCAACCTAAGGCCTAGAGAAAAATATTCCAGAAGTATGTATCAATTGGTTCCTTTATTCTTTATCCCTTTTGTCTTCCTGTAACCTGTCACTTAGAAAATAATTATTAAATATTTACTGATGCTAAGCAGTGTGCCAGGTGCTGGGGTTTCAAGGATAGATAAGTCTTGAAGAGTCAAGGTCATTTGAGGATATACAAGCCATAAATAAATGCTCAGAACAATAATTTCCAGAAAAAGCTATAATGGAAATATCATTGTGTCTGTGGAACTGAAGAATGTGTATAGAAAACAACTTCTGAATTCGGTTCTAAACTGTAAGTAGAACTTCTCAAAGAAGAAAAGAGAATGATTCTTCTGGAAGGAGCTCAGGTAACAAGAAAATTCTGCTAAATAGAAGATGGCATTTCTAAGTAAATTTGCAGCAGTTGCCACACAAGCCAAAATAGCAGCAATACTCTAAGAAGGGGCATGCATCTGTGCATGTGTGCATGGGGGGGGGGCACAATTGACATTAGGTAGCCTCCTCTTTATTTTTAAGACAGGTGCCTCACTAAGCCGGGAGCTGTTTCTTGGTTAGACTGGCTGACCGGCAAACTCTAGGGATCCACCTGTCTCTCCATCTTCCTATTTAGGGCTGGGGTTACAAACATGCATCCCCATGCCAGACTTTTATATGGGTGCTAGGGATCCAAACTCTAGGCTTCATGCTTACTAAGAACAGTGGAAGCACTTTACCATTCCCAATATTCTCAGAAGTTTCTTTTAATCTTATTTTCCCTTCATTTCTCTACACCTTGACCCACAGTAGACACCCATCAAGGATCCCATAATTTATTTGGACTATAACAGTAGCAGATCCAGCTCTTTTCATTGTGACTGCAGAAGAAAAGATGCTATCCAACTGAGGAATTATCTACATCCTGCCTAATGAACCCTAGGTCCACACTTGAGTCTGATCCCAATGGTAGGTGACAACTGGCCACCCACCTGGGACTACAAAGTATGTGGTCACCCAGAGGATGTGACCGCTGCTTCCCAACAGTTCACAGGCTAGGAGAGAGCAGCATGGACTCAGAACCTTCAGGCCACAGGATGCTGTGGGCTTGTTCTCCTCACCTGGAGTTTAGACATCACCCATTCTCAGAATTAGATTGCATGCTTTATGTCTTAAGAACATTGAGAGTATGTGCTTCATTTCATAAATACTGGCTTATTTCAGTTCTGTAGGAATGATCCATGCAAATCCAAGTAGGTATGTAGGAGTGTGTGTGTGTGTGTGTGTGTGTGTGTGTGTTAAAATGTATAGAGAGAAGAACAGAAAACATGTCTGAAAGAGAGCAAAGACAGTATCTCCCTGGTATCTATCAACCTATGTGTCATACAAACATGTGTTAGTATGTATGAGATACAGTATTCTAGAATAATTCTGACTTCTTTGGGAAATTTTGCATTTATAGCTCCATTTATATACTTTCTTTCCTTAAGAATTGTATTTCTCCAGTTTAGAGGATCTCAGTATGTAGAAGTAAGTAGAAGATACTCTAAGGAGGGGCTGTTTATGTAGCTTTTTGATGTGGAAGCTCAGAGCCAGAATCTAGGACTATCTCTACAACTTTCCACCCTTTACATCTGTGCAAGCTTCTGTGATATCTGAAATAAAGACAGTGTAGGCTGGACCACAAGTCACAAGTTTATATGACACTGGATTTGTTCTTGATTGCTAGCATCCACTTTGGCATATGGAATGGTCAGTGTGGACTCATCCAGATAGATGATTGGGCTCATGAAAAAGCAGAAGACAGACACCATCTTCAGGGGAGCGGCCCAACCCTTTTGCCCCTGCCCCCTCCATATTCACTCAAAACTCAGGAAACCAAGCGCCTTATTTTAAACTCTCCCCATCAAGACCACCTTGATGAAGCATGGGCCCACATTCTGGTCCTGACCCTACCAAGCTGGCTGAGGAATATGAGGAGGACCCAGTTAATATTTCCTGTACTAATTTTCTTCTTCTGGAAAATGAGGCGTTTGAACTGATAATTTTGAAGGGCTTTTACTCAAACTTAACCTTGGGTCTTACAAATGTCACATTGATGTGAAATGAAGGTGTTTGGCTTAAAATAAGTGAATTTTGATTAGATTAAGCTATGAATTGTCATAATAATTTTTTAAAAAGAATTGTATTGCAGGGGCTAGAGAGATGGCTCAGTGGTAAAGAACACTGACTGCTCTAGCAAAGGACCTGGGTTCAGTTCCCAGCACCCACATGGTGGCTAACAGCCATCCTCAACTCCAGTTCCAGGGGATTCTACACCCTCTTCTGACCTCCACAGGCACTGCATGACACAGGTGTACTTACATATATGTAGACAATATACTCAAATACATAAAATAAAAATAATAAATATTTTTAAAAGAATTAAATTTATATATAACCATGTTTCAATATATGACTTATTCCACTTCCAAAATGTTAACATACTTAAAATTATGATGCACTGAAAATTACCTTTTTTTTTCAAAATTCAATTCTTTTTAATATATAGAAAATGAAGTCATAATAATGTATTTCCAGTAAAGTAACAGAGTTTGGGCAAATGCATTAATGCATATATATAATATATATGCTAAGTATCCCTCTATATCTTTAACATGACCTAGAATATTCCCTAATGTCTTTTCCCAGCTAATCTGGACTCACAATGCCATCCGCACTCCCAGAAGCACTTCTGATAATTTTTTTCCCATCACAGATTAGTTTTGCTTTAGAATTTCATGTACTGTAAGCTATATGGTTTGTATTTTTGTACGTTCCTTTATATTTACCAAAATATTTTTGAGATTTGTATTATTAGCTGTATGCATAGCCACCTTTTTCCCCCTTAAATTGCTCACTTGCTAAATCTACGTTTTGTGCCATTCTATAAACACATCACAGTTTCTTTATCCATTCACCTGTGGACAGACACCTGTGCTATTTCCAGATTTGTTCTATCAAGAATAAAACCACTGAGAAAATTTTTCTCTCTCTTAGATAAATACCCAGTAATGGAATTGGTGGGTCATTTCACAGTTTATTTCTATAATTAAAATGCATGGGGAGCTGGAGAGATGGCTCAGCAGTTAAGAACACTGGTTGTTCTTGCAGAAGTCCCGTGTTCAAATCCCAGCACCCACATGGCAGTTTACTGTTCGTAACTCCAGTTCCAGAGGATCTGACAGCCTCTTCTGACCTCTGACGGCATTGCACAACACAGGTGCACTTACCTACATGCAGGCAATACATGCATACACATAAAATAAAAATAATAATTTTTTAAAAAATTAAAAAAGTGCATGTACTAAATTATATTATACAAAAGATGGTTATGCAGAACCACTTTCAGATGTATTTGATCCACTCCATTCAAGACACTGGAAAAGATGCATGTATAAATACTTTTCCTTGAGGATTACTAAAACCAGAACATAGTGAAAGACAGCAATGTTTCAGAATAACTAAAGGAGATGAATGTTATACAGTGTGTGTCTCCTCATCCCCAGCCATCCATCTTGTGGCACATTTGTTTAACCTGGAGCGTTACCACTTGGGTCAAGCAGAGGATGCTGAGGGACTTCTGGCTGCACTTTCCAAGCTTGGAAACACCCCAAATGAGAGCTACCTCAATCCAGTCCGCACCTTGCACACGGTGAGTTCTTGCATGTTAACTGGACTCTCTTCTGAAGAATTCTTGCTCTCTCCGCATTCCTATATCAAGTAATACATTTCAAAAGCTTCTCACAAAAGAGCTGGATAGAAGAGGTTGCTGACAGATGTCAGTATCAATTTCACTTTTTTTTGGAAGGTTCTACATATTCATTATTTAACCAATGTGCTCAAATCTCCAGGATAAAAACCTTCAGTTCTATTTGGTGGACCTAATGATTGACCGTGTTCAGCTTAGTCAACCGTGCCATGGTGTGGGAATCCTCACAGACCCAGCTTGGCTCTCCTCGTGTCTTCTCTTGGAGCTGTACCTGATTTTGTTACCGGTTTTCATTCAAATCCACTGGGAAACAGGACGATTTTGCTTTTGTTTCTTGGCCAAAAATCGCTTGATTCTGAAAGTCTTGTGAGAAGACATGGTGAGAGACCCAGACAAGCATACAGAAGACGATGGCAGATGAAAGGAAAGAGCAACTATTTTTAAAAAAGCTAAATTTCCGATCATTAATGTGGCTGGGAGGTTATAAGTAAGGAGAATATAGGAAACTGTTAAAGCCCTAACACTGTACATTTTAAAAGCATCCCTGATCAAATTCTCTTCACTGATAAAGCATATGCCACCTAAATCCAGGGATGACAGATCGATGTTTCATTTCCTTCTGCAAACTGTTCTCTGGATCTGTTCTTGCCTTGTATTTTGGCATATGAACATCATGTACTGACCAAAGAAGGCCATTTCATAATGAGACCTGCAGGACTAGTGACGCCATTGATGCTAACCACCTAGATGCACAGAGCAGCAGTGTCTCTAGGAAGCAAAAATAAATCCCAAAACTGTAGCCACAGCTTCCTACCTTCAGAGGTAAAGACCTCCTCCCCAAGGCCCACCCTTACCACTTTGTGGTTCACCTAAACATTTGTCCATGAACTGCTGTATTAGAACGTGTATCCAGCATGGAGACCAGAAGAAGAATCTATGTTTTTTCGAGAAAAGCCTTCAAGAAAAGGACTCTCCTTCCCTCAGAAACCATCAACTCTCCATAGCTCCTCAGTTAGGGATAGGAGCTTGTGAATCCCTCTGTGCTAGAATGTTGACTACATGATCTTATGAGATCCGATGCAGACAACCACAGCGGCTGAGTTCATGTGTGCTGTGGTTCTGTCCTGTCCAGAAGACCCTGTTTCACTCTGGTTATCCAGACCTCTGGCTTTTACAGCCTTTCCCACCCTCACCTGAGATGGTCCCTGAGCACTGGGGGTGGGGGTGATCTACATTGTGACTGAACACTCCACTGAAACTTACTCTCTGCACTTTTATCAGCTGTGACATCTCAACATCTTGAAGAGACTATCTAATAAATAGTATTTATTATGAATAACCTTTAAATCAATGTTACAAAATAGGTAAGCTACTTCAAACACTGTTATTTGAAAATTTTAGAAGCAATATCCTATGTAAGTATTAATTAAGTTCAGAAGACCATCTAATTTAGGGCATTTGCTGAAATGATTATCAATAAGTCAAAGCGTACATTACAGCAATTCATGAGTGGGGCTATGTTGGACAATCTGTTGCAGCTCAGATCAGTCTGTAAATGTATTGTAGGGGAAAAGAAACAGAAATCTGCTTTAACAACCAAAGCGTGATTTGAAATGAGCACAACTCATGTCGTGAGTGAACTTCTAAAATACCTGAGTGTATCTGCAAAAAAAATATTTTAAATGTTTTAGGCATACCCTTTTCCAACTTTATTTCATTCTTCTGCTCTGGAACAAAAAAATAAACAATGGAGAAGTCCCTATCCAAATTACCTCCAGATCTCAAAGCAGCCCAAATTAATGAGGTTTTACTGACAAAAGATATAGTGTGAGTTTACTGAGCCCACGTTGGCTCAGCTATGGGAGCACAGGGTATGAATGCTAATGACTAAGCAAGAATACAGGAAGTACGTAATAAAAGCAAAATGCTTTGCGATTAATATTCTAAAAGGCTATTAACTGTCCCTTGCACTCATGAGTCAGAGTCCTGCCCTTTAGGGAGCATCCACACCAGATACGAATAGCTATGACCTTATTGATCGCAGAGAATTTACCAAGCCGTATTCCAGGTCCCCTGAGGTAGCAAGAAAGAAATGCAAGTCATGGTCTTTGCAATTAAAAAGCAAGACAAGGAAAAAATACCAGGAGAACAGAGTATGCAGCTGCTCTATAAGGAACGCCCCTAAGGGACCTCTCGAAAATGTGTTTATTAATGCTAAAATGCAATTAAGCATGGCATGGTGCCCCATGTTTTTATTTTAAAAATTGAGAACTTAAAGCTTGGGCTTATTTTGCAGCATTTTATCTTCCAATGCTCTCTAGTATCAATCCAAACCAGGAGATTTTACATGACAATTAATTTGTGCAAATGGAAACTATATATTTAATGGCATAGTCATTTATAAAAAGCGGAGCAAAGTAAAATACCAACAGTAAAGCTCGATTCTCGAGTTGTACCTGACCTTGTTGACATCCCACGCTTCGGAGAAAAACACCGAGTCGCTTGTTGCTTGGATCCCCTAGTACTGACCCGAAAATTGCAAAACTGTAACAAACTATGATGTAGTGGCATTTGTTTCTCTTAGAACACAACCACTGAGCTACTGATGACACTCGCAGGCATTACTGGCCTGGTGATCTCCCTGGCTTTGATTTTGATCATGACTTCTTCAACCGAGTTTATCAGACAGTCTTCCTATGAGCTGTTCTGGTATACACACCACATTTTCATCATCTTCTTCGTCGGTCTGGCCATCCATGGAGCAGGGTAAGTCCATCTTTTACTGTGGGTGTTAAGATCCTTCTTTCTAGGAATCTCAAAATAATTCTCCTTTTAACAAAGAAACAATTTGCAGCGACTAAAAGACACATGACAATGTGCGTTCACAGCAGCCAATCTCTTCTTGTAGGACAGGAAATGAGCCACATAGATGGAGAAGTTTTCTGTGTCTTTTTCCTAGCTCTGTCAGTGAGTCCTGTCATGTTTATAGGTACAAGGAACCTAATGCGTGCGGGATGACAGTGGAGCTGTGTTCCCTCCAGCACCTGTTTCTGCAATCCAATTTAGGTGGAATTAGACCGGAGATGTATTCTTGATACCCAGATTTCACTGTCGCTTTCCCAGAACCATCAAGTAGGAAGCCCAGTGTGTGGGAGGGGAGTATGTAAGACAGCCCAGCTAACCTGAGTTCCAAATCATCTCCGTCAGTAGTCGTCAGACTGACTGCACACGTGCCCTGAGTTCAGTGAGCATCAGTTTTCCATTTTCCCTCTGGGATTCCTCTTTGCTCAGACAGCCCATAAGACTGTGCTCTGGTATTTGACACCCTCCTGAAACTGTCAAGCCCTTCACTGAGAGGCAAGACTAGCACATAAAGTATCTGAGGTTGCACAGTGTGTTCACCCTCAAAGACATTGTTTTCAATTCTTCAAATATTAAATATTTAATATTAAATATTATTTAAATAAATATTTAATAATAGCCATGGATTCATTAATTTTTGTCCGCACATGAGATTTCCCTTTTTAATTACTTCATAAGTTGATGCCTTTTGGTTTTCAAGTTATAACTTTCAAAGCACAGTTGTATGCATGATCAGTTTTAACCCACCACATTTATGAGATGGAACACATTTCTCATTGCCACAACCCATGCCAAATTAAGAGTTCTCTCACCACCCTGTTTTCCTGACATATCATACTAGTTACTTTTCTGTTGCTGTGATAAAACACAGTGACTAAGGGAACTTATGAAAAGATGAGTTTACTTCAGCTTACGGATGGCCGGTAGACATGGTGAGGAGGTGGGAGCAGAGGCACTCACATCTTAAAGCAGGCACAGGAAGCAGAGAACCACAGGAAATCCAGCAAGGTTCAAAGCCCGCCCCCAGTGACACACTTCCTCCAGCAAGGCCACACCTTCTTAAACCTCCCAAAACAGCGCCACCAACTGGGGAACAAAATGTCCAGATACATGCAGCCTATGGGGGTCATTCTCATTCAAACCAGCACACATGTACAACCACATCGCAGAAGAAAGAGTTACTTCCTGGGGAATGTTTTACTCTGAAATATAAACCTTTTTCTTAATCAGCTAACCTTCACATTTATACTGCTCCTAACTAAAGCTTTTTATTCCCTTTTAGCTTAAAAATATCTGAAGATGGCTCTTTGGGTGTGGAGACCTCACCCTTCGTTTTTGTACTGGGAGCAGGCAGGATAGTGTAGTCCCAATATTTCATTCCAAAGTTGTGAGTCTGCCTGTCTGATTCTTTTCCTCATGTCAGAGTTATGGCTGACTGGAGCCCCTTTGTGAGGCTCTCTACAATCCATACACAGGTAGAAGGCCTCTTCACGGAAATGATGCCTGTCTGCCCCTAAACCCACATCTCCTACATTCACACTCTGCTGCAGTGTAGCACAATGGATTTCAGTCCTTAGTATCTTGTTGGTGATATTTTTTGATATCCAAACACTATTTCATAAGGAGAATGTTTTAGTAATTTTAACCTTATTGAAAGACTTATTTGGGGATAAGGGCCTCTTTAATTCTCTCAGCTTGACATATTCTGCAGCTACTGTTTACAGTGAAAGTAATTTGCAAATTCTATTCAAAATGCTAAGTAGACACAGGATTGCTGGAAGGTGTTAATGGCCATAAGTCTACCTATTATGGAATGGTATAGATGAAGACATTGAAAAACTTGAAATTTTTAAAAATAATAGTGTACTAATGGAACGATCTGTGGTCTCTAGATACCACAGGGAAAGTTCCCTAACACCCAAGAATGAAGGTGTTGAAATGTAGGATGTCTCATTCATTAACCACAACCACCCTGCCTTGGGTGGGCATCATTTGTGCCCTGGAGATTCACAAACAGTTTTGCTCACCTGACTCAAAGGGATGTTTGCCAACTGGGTGACTTCCATAAGAACAGACAGTGTCAAGGGCTAACGTGTCAGTGCTAGCTGACACCAACTACTTTCCAGGGTATTTTAAATCCTTTCTCCCATGCCCGAGGATACAAAAGGAGGCCACTACCCCACAGGCTAAACAGGATGTGAGTTTATGTAATACTGCTGTCTCTCAGGCTATAAGAACCTAGTTTCTCAAAATAAATCAATGCATCTTCTTCATAAGCACCTAGGAATTGGGCAACTCCCCAATTTTATTATGTCTAGTCCCTTACTTCAGGGTTACCAATAAGTAAAGTAATCCTGAGAGTGTATGCCAAAGTAATTTGCAAAGGTCAGTCAGTAATGCATTTGTAACAAATGTAATAGAGTAGCATTACAGGACTCTTTATCCAGTGCTCCATTCATACAGGCTGGCTTCTCTTTCTACTTTTAAATTTATCAATACAGCCTCAAAGACACATTTCAAAGTGACCTGTTTTGACCTTGTCAAATGCTAAGCCTGCTAGTGGTCACTGAGGGAAAAAAAATATCATTATTCTGGGTACTTCTTTTGACTAGTTCACTTAAAAACTTCTAAGTGCTCAGAAACGAACTAAGACGGGTAGAAGTTAAATCAATCTGTGAAAGCACCCAATAGTACAAAGTTAGCCAATTAGTCCAAATCAGCAATCAGGACAAGATGAAACCTAATTAAATTCAACAGTCTACAAAAGGATGTGTTCAAACAATTTCCTTCATTATGAATTCTCTAATATAGACACTTTCGGTGTAACACAGGATACCACAGAGGGGCACTTCTTCTCTCGGATCTTCAAAGTTATCCAGTGCTTTTTAAATGCCTAGTTTTAAAAAAAAACGCTGAGGGAGCTGAGAGACAGCCCACGTTTCAAGAGACGCCAGTGCTGTTCTGGAACCCACTGTAGAGTATAAATCTGTGTGTAACAAGACTGCACAAAACCAGCTTGACATTTTTGTACTTTTTCTTTTTGTTTTTGTTTTTAAATAAGTCGGATTATTCGAGGCCAAACTGGAGAGAGTCTCACACTACACAATGTCACCTTCTGTAGACACCGCTATGCTGAATGGCAGGCAGCTACCTTGTGCCCCGTGCCTCAATTTTCTGGCAAGGAACCTTCGGTAAGAATGAACCCAGGAGCTTTTTAAAAATAACTGTCCCCACTGTTAAAATAACTAGAGCTTTTATAGGCTTGAAAAAAGAACTGCCCATGTCACCACTAGATGAAGCCAACTCTTTATTAAGTGGGCTAATGGAGAAATCGAGTTATGGATAATTTTAAAAGAGGTTTACTGCCAAAAGCACTTTATTCAGCTTTGAAATGTGATCCACTTATGCTTAAATATGGATGTCTGAGATGGCAGGGCTTCATCACAGCACTGTAATGGCTCTGCAGGACCTAGTCCCGTGGCTCACCACCCTGTGCACCTTCACTGTACCTCTGCCTGCCCCTCTGTCTCCACTCCAGATTAAGAGAAGCCTGAAAGAGAACCAACCCCTTGTTAGAGGCTTACCTTCTTTCTTTCTACAACTTTTGGGATCAAAAGAATCAGGCTCTCATAACTGAAATACTGACAATGTTAGCCAAGAACAGAACAAATTAATTTGAGTAGATGACAGTGTCCACAAAGCTTGAAAGTACTGTTTTCTAGGTATGTTACAGTTATTACAGCTGGTGACATAGGCAAACAGGAATAATGACCCTTGTTTGGCCTCTTCCAAAATCTCAGAACAGTACAAACCTTTGGTTTACCTAGGTGATGCATGACAGAAAATAAATGAAGCCAATATATTAAAACCAGTCGGAGACTGGGTGTATAAAGTGCTTGCCCCACATGCACAGAACCCCGAGTTTGATCCCCAGCACTGCATAAACTAGGCGTGGTAGTGCATGCCTGTAATCCCAGCACTCAGAGTTGGAGGCTAGAGGATCAGAAGTCCAAGCTCATCATCAACTACAGTTGCAACCTGGAATATGTGAGATAGTAGCAACAAACAAACAGACAAAACCTAAGAGGAAACAAGTGCCCCAAATCTGCATCATTTAAGAATGGGATAATAGGATATAATCGTTTATAAATTGTGGGGATTTAGGAAATTAACTCACCCACATAGGAAGAATATAAATAATCACTTTTTAAAAAAACTCTCACATGTATTAAATTAAATGCCAGGTTTTAAGGTGAAATCGTAGGAGAAATTTTAAAACTGAGAGAAGTAAAGTAGATGTGCCCATTAGACCGTGGTTCTTTTAATGGTCAGTATAGATTGTCTCTGTCTTAAACTCAACTCTCGGTAGCCACTATCCAGCCTGCATATTAACGAGAAACTTGAATACCTCTCTAAAATTTTCAGCCACAGCATCTCCATAAAAGAAAAAAAATCAATATTCTCCCACGTCTCATGAATACAGACCAAGGCCTGCTCCCAGCACTACACGCTGGCATTAATTATCATTAAGAGGGAGGACTTACCCATCTCTCTGCTGACGCCCCCCACAACTCCTTGCACACTCAAACTGGTGGTGTCACTCTTTCCCATTATATTTAATGGATCCTGATCCAAAGCGTGTGTGGGCTGTGCAATTACCGCTTGGATGAACTGTACAATATTCCTTCTGATGTCTTAGAAAGGCTGAATCAGAAAGGCATTCCAAGGACAACTAAGGGTTCCTATGTGTCACTGCACCACAGTGTCTTTACACAACTCTATGCCTTCGTCTTTGCCTCTGTCCATTTTCATGGAGTTTTTATCTGTATAATATTTGCCAGCAATGCACTGTTCCCTGTGTTGGGCCAGATAATTCTTTGTTCTTTATGTTGTATAAACATCACAGGAAGCTCCTGCTCTCCTTTCTACCTCAAACTCCCAGGCACACAAGCATACAACTATAGAGTCCAGAGCGGCTTGTGCAATCCAGTCTCAAAAGATGCTTGGTCCTCCTTAGCTAATGAAGCACCTCAGTTCATTTGCCTGAAGTTAATAAATAAACAAGGCTGAGTGGTTTCTGCTTTCTAGGGAATGATGTCAGAGGTAAAAGGGAAGGCTTGAACCGGGGTAGAGTCAATCAGTGAAATTTCACCAAGTGGCTACAACATACTTGCATGTCAATAGACAAACACATGGGCCCTGCCCCAGGAGAGCTGATCAGCTAAGGAAATGTTCTATTCATAAACACACATAAAATAAAATAAAAACCAGCATACACTTATTTTCTGCTAGGAATAAACATGGAGGAAACAAGTTTCATTACTGCTGCTATTAAATCAACATAGTTTTTTCTCTGTGGTGATATGCTCACTATACCGTGATTCTGGGTATTTTTAGAGAAGGAAAAAAGAAAGCTAGGAATCCATGTAGCATTTTAGCATTAAGGAAGCTGGTAGGTGAACCATTTATGACCCTTTATTTTAAGCGATGGAGAAATGGAGGTCGAGGGTGTTTCAAATCGTTACCTAAGGCATTCCTAGCAAAGCCTCCCGACTCTGCCGCCAGCTATGAACTTTCTTCCTCACACCTTATGACATTCCCTCCAAACCTGTGACCTTCCTCCAGGACTTCCTTTATCATTTCTCTGCTACTGCCTGCAAGTACATGTCCCTAATATTGCATTCATCCCTGAGAATAAGCAAAAATATTTAACAGTTTGGAGGGAACTTAAATAACAGTTTTTCTCCAATCATTTCCCATTTTGAAAATAAGAAAATTCAAACACAAAATAGTCCAAGATATGAGCTGGAGAGATAGCCCAGTCAGTAGAATGCTTTCCATGAACTCATGAGGACTTGAGTTCAATCCCCAGCATCTACATAAAAGCCAGGCATAGTGGCACATATTTGTAATCCCAGCACTGGCAGGTAGAGACAGGTACCTGCTACCAATCCACTCAGTGAACCCCAGGGATCAGTGAAAGATCCTGTTTCAAAACAAAAGGTTTGGAAGGCTCCTGAAGAACAATGCCCAAAGTTGACCTCTCACGTCCAACTGCATGTAGATACATGTGCACTGTACATACGTGAACACATATAAACACAAGTTCAAAATGTATCTGAAGACACAGGGTAAGAGATGAGGGAGGGCATGACCTCCCTTATCTACTCATTCTTATCTATGCTGATCACCACAGCTGGACCAGTTCCCTAATATTCCTTGCTGGCTGTAGCTCACCCTCATTCCCTGAACTTCAAGGGGCTCCAGGAGCATCACAGTATAAATAAACCATGCTATCTCCTTCTGGAGCAATTTATATAGTAGACTAGAGATCGAGCCAAGGATTAATGGCTTACATTCTCCTTCCCGACTAACCATGGAAAGAAAAATAACCCATTCTGTTTCATCAATGTGGAAAAATCAGAAGCCATGGCTGATTTGACACCTCCAAAATGAACTACGTGATGTCTAAAGTGTGTGTTTTCAAATGGATATGGAAGATTATTTGTGAAAATACACAAAAGACTATGTAAGGGTCTTTGCAAATCATTCTCCCATGTAGAAAGAATCATTGCTGTCATTTCTCTAACTATCAAAACCACTTCTTAAAATACTTTCTAGTCTCGTCAAGCATAAGGAAGCTAAGACTTGATTTGCTTAGTCCAGCCCCGCCCTCCTGCCCGCTCCTCTGTTTAGCCTTGCTCTGAGCATCTTCTCTGCCTCTCCAAAACACAAGTGGACAAAGGGTTTTATTCTCTCTGCTACTCTGAACATGTTGGTGAATCCCACTGAGGCGGAAAAGAGTAAGTGGGTCAAATTGCTTTGTGTTGCCTGCATAAATCCTAGCCTTTATCAAGCAAGCAAGAGGCCCCAGGAAAGTAGCTCAGAAGGCTGATGCAGGTGAGGACAGGTACCATGCAAACAGAGCCAGAGCTAAGCAAAAAAAGAAATTAAAATACAAACAAGATAACTCAAAAGAAGCAAAATAAATGTTAAAAGGGCTTGTGATCTTATAGACAGAGCCAGACAGCTGCAAGGAAATAGTGTGTAGGAACACACAAACTCAAAAGGAGGTGCCCTCCCTGCTCCCAAGGTCTTATCAGAGGATTAGGGTCATAATGGATTGACAATGGCAAAGAAGGAAATAAGGACATTTAAGGACATTTTCCAAGCTTTGAGATCCAGCCTAGGCTCTCTGAGATCCAGACCAGTCTCCCTAGACAACTTGAACCCATTTCCAGAAAGTTAGGATATTTTTTCTATAGGAATGAGATTAGATTTCCAAAAACCTTTAACATCCTAAAATTCAGTGAGTTCATAAGTCTCTGATGCTTTATAAAGCAAGCCTCAGGACCAGTTGTAGTGCTGACAGAAAGTAGTGTGGTTCCATTTCCATCAAATGGTAAATACTCAAGGTAGGCAGCAGATACCCTAGGGAAATGGAGGCCAGGAAAGGGTGTCAGATCTCCTAGAACTGGAGTTACAAATGGTTGTTAACCACCATGTGGGTGCTAGAAACCAAACTTGGGTCTTCTGCAAGATCAGTTAGTGCTCTTAACCACTGAGTCATATTTCCAGCCCCACTAATTTATTTTTTGCTGAAAATGCTCCTTATCTTAGCTCTCCAGTTAGCTGGTGATGATTTTGTTCTAATTCTGAGGTTTAAGGTGCTAAAAATTGTGTGTGTGTGTGTGTGTGTGTGTGTGTGTGTCTGCCTTTAGACAGATGCCCTAGTTGTGAGGCATTATTGGCCAAAAAAATTAATAT